CATTATTATCCTTTACATGAGTTTACTAAGTTGTTATAGAACTTGTTAAGACTTTTTAATTTCAGTAAACGAAATGTCAGTGTATTGTGTGAGCTTTTATATAGATAAATATCTAAAAAGTTTTTAAACAAATGTATCAAATGATAATTATATAGTTTTACTCACAGTGTCATTGTAAATTATTTTTAGAGCTTCTTAATTATTTTACTGTAATTGTTTTTCAAATAAAGACTTGAGTTTTACTTTTTTGATAATTAAAGAGAACACTGTAAAGTTTTTATACATTTTAGTACTGTAATATTTCTACTATCATAACATAACAAATTAAAATGAAGTGCCTGGAGGTCAAATTTTATTGTAAAAGATATTCATCTAATAAAAATGTTGCTATAGTAAATTTGAACTATAAAGACACAATGTGATTCAATTTATCTAACAAAAGTTTTCGTTGGATCTCTCGTATAGCAGTCATGTGAAAATGAAATTTAATGTTTATAATGTTCAGGCTCGTTGATTTGAATTAAAACAGTATTTTAAAGTTCACAGATGTAGCGTCGCTAATATTATGCAAACAAATTTTTTTATAAGAATATGTCACCACTAATTATGAGTTGTTTATTCGCACGAAAAATGAATTAATACTATAATTACTAAATATAAAATTTTTAGTTAGTTGAAATTTAAACATAGTTATTTAACCCTAATATATTACAAAATCAGCAAAATTATATTACATGATAATTTTAAATCGGTTTTTTTTCAACTATTGACAAATTTTTGGTGTATAATAAAAATCAAAGATTGAAACGTAAAGTTATTATTTCCCAAAATCAACTGAGGAAAGACATTTAAAAAAATATAATCAGCAGTGCTAATTAAAAAACATAATATTTTTGCTAAATATCACTACTAGTTGCACATGAATTTTCATCTTAATAGAGTTTTTATACTTGAGTGATGAATAAAACAGCTATTTATCATTTATAAGGTAAAAATTAAGTTAGTAGTATTTTTCTAAAATAATGTTCTAATACAAAAATATATATATATATAATCAAGGTTGGGTCTTAGAAAACTAATAACTGGCAATTAGAATTTCATATTTTTTGTCAATTTTTTTATGAGCTACTTAAATTAGACATCATTGAACGTTTTGTAAATAACAACTTGCGAATTTATCATTTTAAAGAATATTTATCAAGAAAATAATCTTAATAATGAAACGGTATCTGCGCTTTATAAAACTTATATTTATCTAAGTTTTAAAAACTTATCATAATCAAATAGGTTAAAGTTGAATGATCATAAGTTTTTAAACCCAGTCCAACTTTGCAGAATTCTTTTTTTTTTGACGCTGAACTTAATTTTTAACTAAAATGTATTATTTATTTAGAATTACAAAGCTATGTATTATTCATGATTTTACTTTAAAATAAAAGTTATTTTTTAAAACTTAGATTATTATTTTTGGCAACTTGTTTTTAGATACATAATGTACCAATTTTTTGATGTTGTATTCTGAAATGTTTGCAGATTTTTACATTTTTGTTGTATTCAGTACTAAAGACGTTACTATATAATATTGAACATACTCACAATGAAAACACATTGATTAATACCTTTTGTTGTGTAAATTGAAAATGTATAAATTTTCATTAGAAATTCGATTTCTACCTAATGTAATAGAATAAATTCAATGCAGTTTGTATTACAAAACGCATTAAATCGGGATCTTATCGAGAAATTTTTTTAACTTGTTTATTTATCGTAAAAACACTAATAGGAATAGGGTTCATTACTACAAGTTTGTATGGAAACAAAATCTTTATGGTGTTATACCGCAGATACATAGCCAATTATGAGAATCGAAGGTTAATAAACTGCTGTCTTAATCTACACCGATAGAATTCTTGACAAGTAAATATAACTGCCTATAGCGATGAAATACGTCACGTAGTGGTAATATGTCCGTTTGAACACATGTGAGCTGAACTTTTCTGTTTTAGTAGTGTTTCCTTGTGTGGCGTTTATTTGGTAATACTTGAGAAATTTCAGGATGGTTCTCGAATACTAATGAAACGAACGTTTTTCTAAAAAAACATATAACTTGCACTAATATTTCAAAATCCCCCAATTCTTTAATAATAACGAACTATTAATATTTTTTATACTTACATTAATTCTTCAATGAAAAATACATCAATAAGTTTAATTAAAAAAATAAACTTTGTAAAATCAAGAAAAATATTTTACTGCGCAATAGTTCATTTTTTGTGTACTACTTAAAGTTTTGGTTTAATAATAAACATTATTGATTGATTAAAAAGTATAAATTCAAATGGATAAATATATTTTCATCTGTTTTATAAAATCTGAAATTGGTACCATATTAATTTGTAACTTAACTAAAATTCGATTTAATCTAATTTAAGTAGGTTGGGATTACAAAAGAAAATTTCAGCTTAAGGTTTCGCCATTGTCTTCTGTGTTTACTTTTTTACAAATTTATAATGATAAATAAATAAACTATATAGTTCACAAAAATAAAAGGTATATTACAATATTTGTACAATAACCTTAATTGACTCTATTAATATTATAACAAAGTAGTATATCCAAGTTATTTTTTTAAAATTAAGTAGTTCTGCCTTAAGAGCAAAATTTTTAGCAGTATATAATTACTTTTTTATATGATAAAAGTTATGAAGAAAATACTTTCGATAAAAGTTGATCGAAGTAACATAGTTGAGAAAATAATGAATAGATAAAGTTTAAAATTAATATTACATGTAAAACTCATTAAGAAATAGTTATTAAAACAGTTTATTAATTATTGTTTATTAATAGTATGTAAAGCATCGTCGAGTTTTGTGGATTTTATATCCCAGAGGAGTAAGTAATTAAAATAGATTAATTTTTTTTCCAGCTGATGCACTTTAAAGTTTAATCGGATAGCGTTAATTAAATTTTTTACTGTAAATTTAAATGATGTTAGAAAGTTTTATTATATTTTTAATCAAATGTTTATTTTTCTGAAAAATTTAATATTAATTAATTCTATAGTAACAATATGAAAATGTGTATTATTAAAATACCGAGCTGTGTATTACAATATCTATAATTAATATATAACGTATAACCAATATGACTAAATATTGATATGGCTATAATTATAACCTATCCACTTTATTAATATGCCGACTTTATATTTTTTATTTATCCCAGTTCAGTGTAGCACATCAAATGTCACATACAAACGTATTTTCCTTGAACTGCCGTCCATTATGCCGTCATAGTCAATAAAAATGAGGCATTTTCGAAATAATATTAACTATTCTGCGTATACTCATCATCAATTACTTTGTCTTTAAAATTTGCAATCATCCACACGGAAGATCACGTCGTCGATACTTATTATAAATTAATCTAGTTTGCACTAGTGATGTCATTGTAAGAAAACTGAAACGTATCTATTTCTCTATTACTATTTGTAAATTGATTAATGATTTACACCTTTTAGTAGAGCGGCACTTTGTATAGGCAATTATGCTACATCTATGTTTTTCAAATAACAAAATTCTAAAGTTGTTCATCATCTTAACTACTCATTTTGTCATTAGTAATACTAAAGTAATTACTGGTTACTCTAATTATATTTTTTATAAATAGGGTTGGTGGATTTATACTCATCATCTCATAGAATATTAGAATGTAAATTAAGATTGTGCATATTAAAAAAAAAAGTATTGCATTATGATAAAAATTAACTTTAGAAAAAAGACTTAAAATCTTATTACTCTAATTCGTTAAAGCCTTGGATATCTTATTCGACAGTTATATTACAGAATTTAATTAGTAGAACATACACGACTAATGATGAAAACGACTTTGAATGTATTGTGAAATATTTTTCGCCATGAACTTGTGTAATCTACCTACACAAGTAATTCTCTCTAATTTGGTATTAAAATAGAAGTGACGAGTACTCTCTGACGAGCCTTCTCTATATTTCATGTCGAACTTCAGTATTTACTTTTTGAATATATAATTGTTGTTGGCTGTACAAATGGTATTAATTAATTTATATGTTTCACCTTTTCAAATGTTTTGTTTGTACAACATGAAAGTCCATCAACTACAGGGTATGCTAACACACTAATAAAACACTGTAGTCCTAATTTAAAAGAGTCTACTGGGAGTTGTTAAAAAATAAAGAGATTTCCATTGATTATTGTTGTAAGTTAGAAGTTTATTCTCCTACTTTATGGGAGATAAAAGCGAATAGGTTACACTAGAGATTTTCGTGAACATTATTATGTAAAATTATTTCTGAATTGACCTATGTAAATTTGAATATATCTATCGAATATCAGCAAATGTGTGATAATCATTAATCTATTTAAATAATATTAAGTAAAGACGTATGTTTATGCAATCTCTTGGCACAAAAATATTATTAAGTATACTGTAGATATTATGTAAAATACATTCTTTAAAGAAAAAACTACATTGAAATATTGTTATGTTCAGATCTGTCATTTTCCTTCGAAATCGTTAAAAAAATATCAAAAGTACTATAAAAAAGTGACATCTTAGCTGAGTATTTGTAATGTTTTATTGAAATAAATGACTACCATATTGAAAGTTTTGACATTTGAAGTGTGTATTCATTTATATATTAAATTTTAATAAAGTTCTATAAACAACGCAAAAACCCGTTTAAAAATCAACTTATTAACCTTAAACCGTTTATTGAATAGTTAATTTATGCTTGTACAAAAAACATTTTAATAAATCGTCATTATTAGTTGATTTATTATAATACAAGAGAAGAACGTTATACTTTTTTATACTTTACTGAGGAATGATCAAATAGAGGTCTAATGGTGTGCGATTTATTTTTCCATTTTTTGCAGCAATGTTTATCATTAGGCATGTCTACGGAAAATATTAATAATACTGTAGAAAACAAAATAAAAAAAAATTAGAACATTTTATTTACGTTTATTCTACAAGAACAAATTACATATAACTTACAATATTGTACAACATTATATTTATCAACGTCAAACCTTTTATAATTAAAAACACAAAATTTTAAGATTCTAAAACAAATGAACAGTATAAAAATAAAATAAAAATAAACTAAACCGATTGTAAAAAAAAAAAAATAATAATAATAATAAGTTAAGTATTACGTATTTAATACCATAAAATAGTTAACAATTTCCGTAAAAACTTATTAACACTTTAATAATACTATAACCGTGTATAGCCGCCTAAAACCGATTTTTGAGGTAGTTCTATAAAAAGTACCTATTGGTTTGGTCGTTATTACAGTTCTTGAGTCATAATCAAGATACTTTGGCATGATTAAAAAATAGTTTCACCCAATATAATGTTTTCATATAATCAATATGGTTGGCCCCGGATTTTTTTTAATAACATGCGAGTGATCGATATATATATATATATTTAATTCAAAATCTAATGGAAAATCGAGTAGCTGATTTTATTAAATATTAAATCTCTTACATAATAAAAAGGATATTTTTTTTTCATATTTATGGAACACAAAGCAACCAAAAACATCGTTGCTTTTCTCTAAAAAAATCTATAAGCAACGAGTTCAAAACGTATTGATGTTTTTATTTGTTTTATGATTTACGTTAAAGTGGTATTTTATTATTAAAGATACATTTTCGTAATTAATAAAATAATAATATGTACAAGAACTGTAATACTTCAATTCGGTCGGAACATTTTATGTGAGTTACATAATGAGGAAAACTGTTTTTGTATGCGTTTGTTATTACTTTTAGATTCGATGTAATTCGCATAAATACCCAACTAGATGATAATATGCTCCATATCTGTATTCTCCAAGGGTCCATAGAAATAAAAACACCTTATATATTGGCGTAGAGATTTTCTAAAACCTATTCAATAGTATGATAATATCATAGAAATGACTGAGGGTATGACGAGTCTTAACATTTGAATAGCACGAGGCTATGCAAATCGATAGGAGCGGTGTTTGCTTTGGGTAGACTTTTAGCAAACAAACACAGTAACTGAATAGTGCGTGTAACTGGTAAATTTTTGTAACTTTAAATAAGACGGATCTGGTGAACTTTTTGTTGTCCCTTAATTTATTTACGCGGCATTTGCAATTTGGTGGAGTCTTGTGGAGTAAGTTTGCCATCTTCTCTAATGCAATGTTCGGTTTGATTTAACGTTCACGTTTTAGCCATTAAAAGTTTTGCGAATATACCTGTTGTATACATTTTTCATTTTATTTCCACGTCGAATAAAGGTCAAACATCGTTTTTCTATCTATCACCGTAAGATTTTATGGTCTGTTGGTTTTTTTGTCAAAAAGAATATTATGATAAATATGACGGGTCGTGATTTTCAAATGGCAAGTTTTTGTTTTCAAAATGTTGTGATTAAAGTGTTATTTGTTAAAAATACTTTACAAAACGATATGCCGACAACGGCGAGTTTTAACTTGATTTACTTCACTATAGTTGTATAATGTTTTTTCAACAAAAACAAACCGATAAATATGAGTTCTAGAAAGATTAGTGTAAATAGAACATCACCGGCGTTATTTTAATGCTTTTTCTTTTCTTAAAATACAAGATATTCGTAACTTAAGAAACGTTTAACGTTTACCCCTTTTTATGAGTTATCCACACTTTCTATGTACCAGCTTAAAATTAATAATCTGTCAAATATAGTAAAAAAGTTTTTAGTTCACGCTACAAAAATTAATAAAACTCTACAAGATGTTATATCATTTCATTGTAATAAAAAAAAAACAATATTTTACTTAGAAAAGCAAAAGTGACTTTAATTTGAGTAAATTGTAACACGTTTTCTGCGCGATATGTGCCCAACACGTATCGAGGAAAATAATAAAACGAAACGATTTGTTTGTTTAATAAAATTTGCCAGTCATGCAAAATCAAATGGAATTCGTTGTTCGCAAAAAGTGTGGCGTGGACGTGAAAGATCTCTAGAGAAATTATTTTATCTTCTATTTCATTTGTTACTTATTAGAGTGGTGGTTGAACATTATTGTTGATTTATTCTATACGCTAACGTCGTGGACAGTCTAATTTGGTATTCGGTCGATAAACGAGGGGAAATGTTTTTCCCTATTAAAGTAAACGGTACCGTCAACAGAGGACAGGGTGGGAATGCAATACGTTGTTGAATTTGCAATAAACTTCAGCCCTATCGAACGACAAGCGTTTGAAATGAAAATATATCTCCGTACGACAAGATAGTTATGCGCGTTTAGCGGTTCATCTGATACATCACGGGAAGGAATAATATGCAAAAAATAATCATTCTCATATTGTTTTAAGTGTATGATTTTGAGATTTCGCAAGACACGTACTGATTCCGTTGATATTTTCCGTATAGAGTGAAACTTTTTTTCTTTGTTTAAATGCGTATAATTTTTTATTCGAATCTAAAATCCATTTAATTAAATTGACGAGAGCATGGCCTTTTTTTAGCTTAAAGCTATCACATTATATACCAAAAAAAATAAATAACACATTTACCTATATACAAAAAAATATTCGTACGCTTCCACGTGTAATTACACACGCACACACAGTAAAATTCCTTTCAGCTGTCATAATGTTTCTCACGTTAAATTAAAAGTAGTAAAGCGCACCAATGTGATTAACTGAACACAGTTTCAATTAATCGTACAGCGTATCGGTCAAAGGGCGATTGTTGGCGGTGTTGCTTTTGCCATCAAGGTTCGATAATGGCCACAGCTTTGGGCTTTTCGTGCCCACTGAGTGTATGTCAGCTATTCAATGGCGGCACGTCGTCCGGCGGATTGTTCGTGAGCGTGTTCCATAGTGGTGACCTGGCGGGTCGTGGCGGAGGCTTGTCCGTTTGTACGGCCACCGATATCCGAGCGATGGCCAGAACGTGTTGCTAGCTGTCCGGACACACCAATACGTCAACCGCACCGCTGCAGCTGGTTTCCATTTCACTCCGTTCTTCGGCCACCGGATCCAAATCACACGACGCGTACGATCTGCTCTCGCTTCGCAGTGGATGAGTGCGACCCATTCCATTGCCACTGCTGCCTGTCGACGACATGCTGTTGGCACTGGCTCCGGCGGCCAAATACACGCCTGTCAAAAAACACATGTCAAGTCATAATTTACTGCAATGGAATAGTGTGTGTGTAACGTGTAAATAAAAATTTATTTATTTTCAAAGATCTCGTTAAAAACATTTATACATCAACTTTTTTTTAACGATTATTTAATTGCATCTCGTGATCTAAATATTTAACTTGATTCTGCCCAGTCAGTACACCAATATTGATGGATACGTTAGCAAGTTATAATTAGAATTTTCAGTGCGGCTGTGTAGAAAACAACAGTTTTCGATGATGTGAATTAATGGAGTATTGTATTAAACGTGATGTTTTAAAATTATAATTGTAAGAAATTTCGAATTTAGTTGACTCTTCGTGTGGTCACATGGGTAGGTTGTGTAAGAAAGTCGACCTTTTGTGATTATTCAGGAAACTGCACAGCACTCTCGCAAGTTTTACTTTCAATATCAATAGGATGATACGAAGTGTATAGTTGAGAATTTAATTCAATTTATTTTATGACATAGACTTCGGCGAAGAATATGAAAAACGATAGATTAAAATATCGAGTATTTTCACTCGGCAATAAGCAAAATCAAAAAGCGGATATCTAAAGAAAACCTAATACACTTTTATACAAACAAATATTTTGAAATTGTTTTGAGTAACGATTATAGTTTGAACTCGGGTGGAGAAATTGAAACATTAACTACTTTAATTTGTGAAAAAATAAAGTGCAAAGGATTTTAATAATTTTTATTTTAGTTTGACCATGACTGTTGAAAATGGCTATTAAAGCGTTATGTAATTTATAAAATTACGAAATTAGTGCACCGTATATAAAAAATTAGTAAAAAGGATCTCTAATTTGAAACGGCGTATTGAATATTGTGTAGGAAGGTAAACTTTTTTTTACAACAGTATTGATTTGACAGGCTTTGTTTGAGCCTTTTTACATGGTTGCGTGTTATAATTGTAGCGTTTTCAAGAACGGATTCGCTGATTACATTTTGTACCATCGTTGGGGTTCGTGGGTGTGTCAAAGGTTTATTTTATAACACTTTAACTACTTATGGAATTTATTTCTGATGTGAATTTCAACGTTAATTTATATATACTATTCGCATTATTTTGTCTTTGCCGTGGGATATTTGGATTCAAAGTTTTATTTGAGATTTTAAAATACATTACTGAGTGATTGCCTGTGAAATATATAATACGTTTTTTAACTTTTCAATTATGTTAATGTATCCAATTGTAAACAAATTTATACGGCTCGCAAAATACCGATTTTTTTTTAATTTAAGTAAATTAAATCGAGTTTGATTTTAATGTTCAATCATATATTATTAAAGACGTTAATAAAACAAAAGATTTATTTTGTTGAAAAATTTAGCCTTTTCCGAAACATGATATTTTAACGGAAATTATTTTTATATGACCTTGAAAATAAATAACATGTAACATTAACTAGATTGAGAGACGGTTGGATCTTAACTGAATGAATTTTTTTCATTTAAAATATACTGCTAACCAGATTCGGAATTTTAATTCCATTTAAATAATATTAAATAAAGACGTATGTTTATGCAATCTCTTGGCACAAAAATATTATTAAATATACTGTAGATATTAAGTAAAATACATTCTTTAAAGAAAAAACTTCATTGAAGTATTATTTATTGAAATATTGTTATTTTCAGATCTGTCATTTCCCTGCGAAATCGTTAAAAAAATATCAAAAGTACTATAAAAAAGTGACATCTTGGCTAAGCATTTGTAACGTTTTACTAAAATAAATGACTACCATATTGAAAGTCTTGACATTTGAAGTGTGTATTCAATTTTATATTAAATTTTAATAAAGTTCTATAAACAACGCAAAAGTCCGTTTAAAAATCAAATTATTAATCTTATGCCGTTTATTTATTGTTTATAATAACGGTTTTAATGCTCAACTTTAATATTGCGATGCTTTAAGTTTTTCAATTTTTATCTTTTTTAAAAAAGAGCAGTGTAATACAACAATGCATATACAGGGATTAAACATTTTGATACATTTAATGTAAAAAAAACTCAATATATTATAATTATCAGTTATTTAATGGACCTTTCTGAACAACTCACCAAATACTTGAGAGTTCCTAAATGTGATTCGTTAATTCGAAAAATGAATTTATTTCAACTAAAGAAGAGCTTAAACTCATTTATTGAAACATTTTTAATTGATTAAATCTTATTCTAGTTCACAAGTAAATTGCAATCTTTTAAACAAATGTAATCACTTAATTTTAATTATTTATTGGACATTTAGCCATTTAATCTATTTTCAATTATAAAGACAATTTTTTCGATTTTGTTACATTACGTTTTACACGAATAATTGGTGAATATGAAGCATGATACTATTACTATAAAATTTTTAAATAATCGAGCCGTTTTCGTTCAAAGGTACTTCTTGTAAAATAAATGCATTTAATTTCATGTTAGCGAAATATGTCAAATTGATGAAGACATATTCTTATTTAAGTTATGGAAATAGGACCCGAAGGGCATAAAAAAAAGTAACATCATTAAAATATTTAATATGTTTAAACTGAGTTTAAAGGTAAACTATACTCTTTCTAATCCTAATTCAGATAGATTGTATTTAACGTGAAAAAATATTATTTTAAAGTTATAGTAATTTATTTTCCACTTCAGGAAATTTTTGTCTTCAGAGAATCTCATTTAAAAAGAGATATTTTTTTTTCATAGAAATAATAGTAGATTTTTAAACAAGTTTTGAACTTAAAAATTTAAAGAATGTAAATAATACATCTAATGAAATAAAAAACTTGAACTATAAATATAAAACGACATGATATAGTTTTTTGTAACTCTAGAACACAAAATAATTTTGATAATGTTGATTAAAACATTCAAAATAAATCATAAAGAGATAATTTAATTTTTTTCAAATTTTTATCTTATTTCTGTGAAAATAATTTAAATTTCTTAAAAATTAAAAAACATATTTATGTATTTTCAGTTTTATAGCTAGAAAACATTTATTATGATTTAATATTAGGTAAAACTTTTCAATTAACAATTTTGGCTCCACGTTAATTACCAATTACATTAAATGTCAAATTACAAATTGTATAACTTCATGTAATTGATATGTTAAAATGACGTTAATGTTTCATTTATGATAAATTACAATTATAAATTGTACAATATAAATAGAAATGCATTTTAAATAGTTTTATAATTTTTTGAATAATTTCAAATAAAGTATTTTTATTTTAAATAGATGCAGTGATATTTAAAATTAAAAATTAAATTTTTTCTGATAGTTATAACTTCATAAGCTTTTAATGAGAAACAAACGCAGAAAATATATATTTGATTTTGATATTTAGATAATACAACTGTCTGACAAACTGATTTATAGTATTATTGAAAACAAAATAAAGTATTAATTGTGGTTTTCTATATGGCAATTAACGTCAAACTTTTTTTTTACATAGAATGAATTATTTAGATATTATAACACAATAAGCGCATTTATTAGATAAAATATAATTTGCAAAACTTTTAAAATGATTTACCTATTTTGTGCATTGGACTAAATCGGGCTAATGATATTACTCCTTGATCACTTGTACACGCTCTAGCAAATCTAAAATAAAAAATTTAAGTATTAAGTATAAATATTTAAAATCTAAATAGTTGAATTTGTTTTTGGTAGGGCTATTTCATTTTTTTTTCTTCATTTTCTTCACCTTTATCACAAATATTTGGGGTTGGCCATCCTTATTCCTTATATGAAATAGCCACTTTCATAGGGTTATTTAATTAATTTTTTTTTTTCGACCTTTTCATAATATAATTATATTTTGTAATTCATAGATAAGATATTAATAAGATATTCAAGTGATACGTAAAAAAATGTATTGATTTAGAAAAAAGAGACTATAACATACATTTTAACAATTAAAGAAAAGAATCTTTTAAAATTAACTTAAATGAAAAAAACTGCTAAAATACTACTAATAGGCGCTCTGTTCTCCTAAGCTAAAAGGCAGTAAACGACAAAAATTTGAAAAATGATTTTTTCATATAAATTATTTATTATTTAATTATAATTAAATAATATGAGCAGAGATATGATATGATTATTTTACTATATTGTGAAATACATTGTTCAACTTCTATTACAATTAGATTATAACCTAAAAAACCTACTTTATCTTTAGGGGAAAAAAAATACCAAATGTATTGAATTCCAAAATGTAAACTTGGAACTCTCAAACAATACAAAATCTGATTGATAAAAGCGTGAACTAAATAAAAGTTGGCCAGTAAACTTTAAAGGAGTTTCTATTTAAGTCATGCAAATAACACATTGAATTACAATAAAAAACCTTTAAAAAACAATAAAAAAAGGAATATCGAGAAACAGGGAAAATATCTTAAAAATGTATTTGTAATAAATAATTTTTTAAAACCGAGAAATAAAAATGGTTTTAGAATTATTTAATGAGCAATTTTTCAGGAGAGCAAAAACAAATTAAAAACGTCAATAATTTCTTATGGAAATTGATATTTTTTAAGCGTAACACAAAAATATTTCCGTTAAAATTAACTAGTAATTTTTAACACAATATCATATGCTACAATAATACAAAAAATCTTTAAATGCTAATTTTTGGGAAATATCAGCTTTTAGATATAAACCTCAGGTATAGGGTTTTTTATTAACTATAAATACAAAAAAAAAATTTTTAATTATTGTTTTCGATATTATTTATAAATTTTACTAAAGATAATTTTAAAGTCGAAATTTTATGGCAATTTTCTTGGATATGTTAATGTTAATGAATTTCGTATAATTATTAAAGAACTACAATCCTTTTATTGGTAGAAATTTAACTATGATAGAACTTCTAAAATTGTTGTTTGAGGTAATTATTGTTACTATAAATTATAAAAGACATTTTTTTCTGTTCAGACTGTTTTATTTGATTCTTTTTAAAGTTTTTTTTTTTTTTAATCGTCCAATTTTTAGTATAACAGTTTTATCTGTAACTCAAGCAAACAATTTAGTAATATAAACTAAGGCACTTTGGAATACAGCCAAAAACTTTTAGTTTATTTTGTTATTTATTTAGTTTTATTTTTTAAAAATTAAACAATGTCTAATAATCTTACCCAAGGTTTCTTCTGCGATCTCGGTCTCTGGCCAACTTGGCTCGTCGCCTTAAACAGCAAATGACCATTAAAACTACTAGTGGGAATCCCAAAATGCACGAAACCATAGGAATAATGATTTTCTCTGGAGTTACTAAAAAAAAAAAATCGTTATTATTTCTTTATAAATCTGATTTGAATACAAATTCAACCAACCCGTTGGGTATATAATGATGGTAGTAAATTTCTTGTTTTGCTGATCTATAACCGGCAACCCGGGATCACTTTGACTAATTGACATTTTTCTAGTAGCTTATAGTAGTAGGTAAAACTATACGTGAACCCTGTAACAAAATAAAGAAAAAGTAATAATTATTTAAAAATATCGTTGATTCTCAAATTTTATATACATTATTGGAATTAATGAAATTTTATAAAAAATTAATTAATTTCCGAATGCTCTATGCGAAATTGTATATACACTAAAGTAAAAAATAGAAAAAAACGTAATTGACCTAAAGTTGCACGTAGATTCATTTGAACAATATTCAATTAGTATAATTAAATTTATTAAGTAGTGGAATTTCAATTTTATTACATTATTTGGGAAAATAATATTTATGATGTTGTATATGTTGTTAAAATTGTTTTTAACAGTTAAATATAAAGTATTATACCAAGTTTTGACATCTTTTTTATAATTTTTAATTCAGTCAATATGTAGCTTTACTTTTTAAAAAAATAACTTTTTCAGTTTAGAACTACTTTAAAAGCATATTTTTCATTATTTTCCTTTGATAAAAAAAAAATGATAAAACTTTCAAAATTTTAAAATAGTCATTTAGCTATTTTTAAAAACATAATTTTTATGGGTCAATAACAAGTTCAGAATAAGTACTTGTTGAGTTACAAGCATTTAACACATAAAGATTTTATTATTCATGTATCTAATTTATTTTGCTAGTTATTTTAAATAAAATCATAGCACATTTACTTTTTTTTTAAATGTGAAAGTAAAAAAAAGTTAATCAAATTTTATCGTTCAAATTTTTAAATGTTTTTAAAAATATTTTTCATATCTAACTATATAATTTTTAACTACAAATTGAAAGTTGACCTTCAATCTTAAAATTCAGGATACATCACTGGCCTTATGTAATAATATCAAAGCCAACTGAGTTACTCTATATATACCCTTAAATGGTATGCTATTTTAGCTTTGTATTCACTGAATACAATATTAGTTTTTATCTAACGATTAATGGCTAACATAATTTAAACATAGTAATTAATTGTATAGTATAGCTAGTGTGAATCGTTTGCATTATTGTGGCATAATATATGAATTAATCCATCGTTATAGTTTCCAAGAAGGATTAATTTTCGTACGAGTTAAACAAATGTATATTATGTTATATTGTGTTAAAGAAGAACTTTAATTTTTAAATATAAAATTTGATTTTTAGCTTCGACATGAAGCTGGGAAGATATTTTATTGAAAAACGGTTTAGTGTAATTGACTTTCCTCTAAAGCGTTTATTAAAAAAAAATATTTTTATGCTTAGAATTCTTATAGTTTTAAAATTAAGGTAGAAAGTCATAAGTGATTATTAATAATTACCTAATAAATATATATTATAAAAATTTCAACTATCATATTTTTATATTTGCTAAAGGCATATTTCAAGAAATCACGTGAAAATGAAGTTTAAACCTTGTTAGATATATTATCTGAATCTATAGGAAATAGGTATTATGGAATTCAGATGTAGTGTAGATGATATATCTTTCGGCAAGGGTCGGTTACTATTCATAAGCAGTGAAATCGAACAGTTCTAAAAAAAATTATGGCCCTCTGGGTCTAATAATTTATTTTGTTCATTCCAATTGCAGTAGTCATCGTAATGCTAACGTGTATACTGTTACAAATGAAACAAAATTATACCATATTAATTATATTTTCAGTTGTTCTAGCCATGTAGCTAGATCAATTTCAATACATTAAAATCAAATGATTTACAATAGTTTTCCATCTTTCAAAAGTGATTAAAATTATACTTAACGTGTGTAATATAATTAGGGTCCGTTTTAAATTCCGTGAAAATATTTACAAATATCCTTAAAAAATTCTAAAATTGGCCTGTAAAAACGCTTTAAAAATATAAAACACTCAAAAATAAAGAAAATTAACACATAAAATATTAATAAATAATCTATATCTTTACAAATTATTAAATTTTTTTTGTATAGTTCTGTTGATTTTGTATTAAAAATATTGTTAATACCTCGTTAAAAAGATATTTTATATGTTTAAATATACAGTATTTTAAAAACAATACTTTAATAGACGAATTTGGAACATAATGTTTTTGTACTCTAAAATAATTTCTATCCATAAATAATTTCTGTATAAAATAAAAGTGAACTTCATAATTTTTGACTACCCAAAAATTCCTTAGAAATGTAATATACATAAAATAAATTTTCGTCTTTTTGTAAAACACATTTTTAATTTACCAATTTAAATAAAAATCTATTTTCCCTAAATTATACTTTAAGGAATGTTAAAATGAGCTAAAAATGATAAAAATGTCTTAATAATTACAATAAATGCAATAAAATTGTTTCATTTCATCATCTATTAAAGCCGTAGTCTTGTCGTTGAAATTATTTATAAGTTTCATTTTATATTATATTAATTGAATTTTGTGCTTACATTACACCATATAAGACAAAAAAATGCAATAAGTATTGAAATCTTGGTCCAAATTATGTTAGTTTACCTGATTTTCATGAAAAAAAATGATTGGATTTACTTATAGGTATGCCAAACGATACAGTCACGCATCTTTGTAAAAAACGCATTGTTACTTTAAGAATAAATATAGTGGCGTGTGTATAAACAATGAGTAAAACTTGACAAGAATTGGGATAATGGATTATCATGTAAAAAAGGTTGGTTTATGTATACTAAAAAGTTTGATTTTTTTAAATGTCATATTTTGTTTATATTGGAAAATATAAAATTAAAATAAAATCACAACTGAATATCTAAAAAGCATCAATCATGTGAGTATTCAACAAAAATATATTCTTTTATATTTATACTTATCATTATTATTTAGTATGTATTATGTATAAATACGATTATGTATAAACTAAAAATATGATAGTACAATGACTTTTTATAATGTATGATATTAATGTAGTACGAATTATTTATGAGAACAATATAAATACAGAGTGATCATAAACCACTCAATTACTCGCAAAATAAATACAATATTAGAAAAACAATTTTTAATTTCTTTTAGTTACATATAATTCTTAATTTCTCAACTAACAATTACTTTTTTAGAATTATCCCTTATAAATTAAACTTTTAGACTAGTATTTCAGAAATTATTAACGATTTAAAGTAATTTCCGACCTTACTCATCGTCTCGTCAAATTATTAAAATGAGAATAACTTCTCATTTTAATTTACTTCTAATAAGTACTGGTCCAAAAGTTGTTATCAATCAATCATTTTATTAATTAGAATATTTTTTATTTTNCGTCTCGTCAAATTATTAAAATGAGAATAACTTCTCATTTTAATTTACTTCTAATAAGTACTGGTCCAAAAGTTGTTATCAATCAATCATTTTATTAATTAGAATATTTTTTATTTTGTAAGCTACTTAAATATGTATGTTGGCATTAAAAAAAATAAAGTTGACACCACTTTAAGTTATATGGGATGATTCTAAAAAGTAATTGTTAGTTTATAAATTAATAATTATATGTAACAAAAAGAAATCAAAAATTGTTTTTCCAATATTTTATTTATTTTGCCAGTAATCGAGAGGTAAATTGTTCGTAAACTATACGAACAATTTAAGTAAGTCAAGTATTTATGTTAATTAATATTTAATTTAATTAATTAATTCAAACTTTTATTTTATCTTCCGATAAAAACTATTATATAGAATACTAAATAGTAATTCTATCGTTGAAATGAATTATTCTTTCTATTTGACTAATGCTCTAAAATCCAATTTGTTTTCTAAATCAGAAAAATGTGTAACATATTGCCAGAAAAGAGAAAAATAATTGAAACGTGTTATTGTAACTATTGCCTGCAACCATGAAATAAATATTTGACAGAGCAAATAGTATTAAACCAATATAAAAAATTTCAATTTTCATGTAGTAGTTAACTGTTCAAAAAGTTTTTAATTAAAAAATATAAAAAATATTTAATTTTTACCCAAATCATAAAAGAAATATTATATTAAAATAGATAACTGTTCACGCAAGTGGAATAATTATCAATTGAAAGAATATAGTAAGATCATTTAGGAAAAGTATATTGTAACAAATATTTTATAGAAAAATATTTAATAGCATTTACTATATCAGTGCAATATTAATAGGGGACACAGGGGTACTTGCCTTCTCATCATTGACTGAGCCATACTAACATTTTGTCAAGCAATGTCATAGTAATGTATGAAGAAATGTAACATTTTTTTTGGTTATCAATGATAAAAATTACATTTGCTTATTAAATGTTTTTTGATAAACAACAAATATAGTTGTGGAGCTAAATTTATCGTCCGTAGTATTGCCTAATAAACGTTAAATCTTACGAATAAAGTACATCCAAAAATCTTTTTGAAGTTTAATGCTTAGAAAAATACTTCAGTGCATTTTTTACGTTAATTATTATATGCCTGATTTTAATTATTAAAAATAGATTAAAATAAAAGCTAAAACAAAATAGTAGATTTTATTTATTTTAGTTTCAAATTTTGTTAATTAATTAATCATATTTTATTATATTGATTTTATATATATTTGTTCATAACTACCACATTTTGTAACTATTGAAAAACATTTTTTTATTGAACATTTTCTATACTTGTTTCAAGTATATTTACTGAGAAGACCATGATGTTTTGACAAATTAATATTAAATAGTAAATCAAACTTTTGATCTACTAATACTTTGGTTACTTTTAAAAAAATAACTTTTTACATTCTTAGAGGCTAAAATCATATTTTTTATTATTTATTTGAAATAATAAATTATTTTTTTTATTTTAAATTATTTTTAAAATGTCATAATAGCCGTTTTTTAGATTTTTCTTAGAAAAATGTTGATGGGTCGATAACAATTTTAGGACAAGATCTAATTGAGTTACGTTGTATTTAATTATTAATGTACATAACTGGGTATGTTGTGCGGGTGACTACATCTTGTATTGGTATACAGATATTCAAAGAGTAAAGAAAAAGTTTAATTATTACAAATAATGAGAACAAAAGAAAACTACCTCCTTATTTTACTCAACATACT